TCAACAGTGATCACTGACTGTTTTAGGAGCTTTTTGAGATCAAATAGAAGAAAATACAAAACATTAAACATGTTAACAACACAAAAGCCATATTAAACACAGACTACTTTAGGCCCGGAAGTAGGATTCGTCGCGTCATCACTTAACGACCGGATAGAACTAAGGTGTGTTGTGCGAGTGTTTTAGTGTGAGTGGGTTTATCTATTGCTTTGTTCTTGTACAACGCTTTGGGAAAACTTTTTAAAGTTTTTAAATGTGCTATATAAATAAATTGGATTTGGAACTTGTTAAATGTAGAAAGCTGTCTATAAAATCAGTTTGTTCCATTCCAACCTGGGCAATTCTACAAAATTGTGAAGGAACATCAGTGACAAGCTTATAAACCTGCACAAGGCTGGAATTTGTTATAAGACCATCAGTGAAAAGCTTGGTGAGAAGGTGGAAATGGAGGAAATATAAAATTACCTTTGACCTTTGCTTGTTAATGATCTAAAGGCAGCTGGAACCACGCTCACCAAGAACACTATTGGTGACACACTAAGCTGTAATGGATTGAAATCTTGCTGCAACTGCAAGGTCCTCCTGCTCTTGAATAATCAAGACCCTTCTTATCTTAAAGACCTCATAGTACCATATCACCCTAATAGAGCACTTGTACAATAGGAGCCAGAGCCTCCAGCTTTCAGGCCCCTCCTCTGTGATTTGAATTTTTAATTCAATAAATAAATATGGACAATCATTTCAACCAGGAAAAAGAACTGTTTAAAGAAATAATTGAAATTACCATTACACCGATGCCGATGAGTGTGTGTAAACCAGGGGTAGGCAACCTTTCTGATGACGAGTGCCATTTAGAATTTCCTCAGAAGTCAGAGTGCCATATGATTGCATTAGCAATAAATTTTATAACGCTCTATATTAACAGTTATAAACTATATAGAAACACTTTATAGAATTATATTTGTGCACAGATGTTGGCAGCTGTCAGCGAATAGTTATCAGCTATTTTGAAACAAAAAAAGACTTTTTATCCATAACAGCAAATGAACTGTACAACAGAAAATGCAAATGCTATTTACGGTCTCCTCACAACAATAATAAGAAAAATAAACTGGGCCAATATGGCATGTTTGTTAATACAGAGACACACATGTTAATGTGATCTCTGGTCTCCGAGTGTCCAGCATTCAGAGGTTACCTGAGGACTCATGTGAGAGAAAACCTGCTCACACAGATATGTAGAGCCAAATACTGTCAATAAGGCCTCTGCAATGTTCTGAAGACAGTTAAAGTTGTCAGGTAGTGATGTCCAGCAGGTGAAAATGCAGCTCCATGAACACGCACAGCTATGGATTCCAGCTGCTTCAATGTTATATGTATGATTTCTATACATTTTACGTCAGATAAAAACTTTGGTTGTAAGCTTCAGATAATTATTTAATAAAAGTGAGACATTTTAAATGAGAATAAGAAAGTATTTATTTGTGCCCCCCTTT